TCAGCTGCTCTTTTGAACAAGGGGTATACTCAGAAGCTGATGGCAACTGTCATGTTCCACCATGGGGGCTGGATATCAGAAAACGTCCATCTGTATGTGCAGAGAAGCAGGGATGAGCAGGGACCTCCTGGGTTCCATTCGGTCTTCCACTCCCTGGCTTCAGTGGAGGCCTGAGACCCTGCTGCATCCCTACCTTTGGGTTCATTCCAAAAGTCAACCCCAAACCTGCACCTTTTGAAGAGGATGTGTTACTTACAACCAAAGGGGCCCTAATTAAAACTGTTAACAAAGTCATTCTCTGGGTACCTTTCCTCTCTGCTTCAGTTCACCTCGGAGACTGAATTCACCTTAAAACTTCATCCTAGCCAAGTTACCTGCTTCTAAAATATCTCTGCACTACAGCCCTTCCTTACGTAGGTGATTCCCTGAACCCTACATCACTATGTATTTCAAATCCAGGACCTGCCTGGATTCCCCTACAAGAGGCAATTATAATTCATATTTCTCTCCAAGACTACGTGGGGATAAATGAATATAAATCAGAAATGAATATAAATCGATGCAGTTTCCCTCTGTGAGCACAGAAAAAGGAAAACCAATAGATGTGTTTTGAATCAGGGTCTAATGTGAGGTTTTATTTACCATGTTAGATCAATTTAAATGTTTAATTTTTCATTAATGTTTCTGAATAGCTCCAGCTTTCCAGCTACTTATTTTTTTGTGGGATTCATATTCTTTTTTTTTTTTTTTTTTTTCCAGTACCCGGGCCTCTCACTGTTGTGGCCTCTCCCGTTGCGGAGCACAGGCTCCGGACGCACAGGCTCAGCGACCATGGCTCACGGGCCCTGCCGCTCCGCGGCATGTGGGCTCCTCCCGGACCGGGGCACGAACCCGTGTCCCCTGCATCAGCAGGCGGACTCTCAACCACTGCACCACCAGGGAAGCCCGGGATTCATATTTTTAAATGGCATTCTTACCTACTACGTCTTGGTTCAACCATACAAGTGGTACATTTTATTTATGCATGACCAAGGTAGAAGAGGGCATTTCTTTGTTGCTTTGAGCATAGCTGCTTCTCTTTTTCTCTTTATTGAGGTATAGTTGATTTACAATATAGTTACTTCTTTTAAAGCACAACAGAGACAGAGCAGATAAAACTTTGGGTCACTTCGAGCATTACGTCACATCTGTGATAACACATTTGTTCTATAAGTTTTCAAAGTCACTAGACATTGCAAAACCAGAGATTAAGGCTGACTTGATTCTCTTAGTCTGTCTGATGTTACCTAGCCTCACTATTGGACTTCAGGATTTTGGCCTTCTTGAATCAAGACTTCTGGGAATTATCTTTGGCAAATATACACTTAGCAGAAAAGTCTGATTATCTTGGCTTTCTCATGTCAAGTTACAACAGGTAGTCCCAGACACCCAGTGGTTTCCTTAGAGTGGGTTGCTTTCTTTATGGTAATCAGTTTACTTGGCCCAGCTGTCAGGCACTTGACTGCCCAACTGACAACTGGAAATAGGAAGGAAGAAACCTCAGATTTTCCTAAACACACAGTTAATGAAAAATTTCACCTGGTTGTTAACGCATCTGTGTTTTCCCCATAAAACATAAATGTTAATTTGGAAAACAATATGCCTACAGAGGTTTCTCCACCTAGGAAAGTTTCACCTGATATTTGACCTGGCCATGTGCCCAACATCCATCGTGAAGGAGTTAACGTAAATTAATTTAAAACCGGAAATGAGGCAGCCAAGTTGTTGACTAGTTTCCTTTTGTTAATTCAAGGAAAAGACTGAAAGGGCCTAAACTACGACAGGTCTTAGCATCGAATCTCAAGGAAATAAGTAAGAGAGATGAAAAATCCTCTTATTCCACATGGTAGCTATTCTTTGGGTCAAAACTGAAAGAAGGAAGAAAAATGTATGATAATGCATGGGACATACTTTTCTCACCTAATTCTTCCTAACCATATGGATTTTCCCCAGCAGGACAGAAGACCATAAATGAAAATTAGCAAGGCAGGGACTCCCACCCACAGGAATACCTGCATCAGGGCTTTGGGGTATTAGACGGGGAGCAGCCCTGACTACCTGCACAGATGCTTTGAGAAACGCATGACTACTCTTGTCTATACAGAGACAGGAAATAGCATGGAAAGGGGGGGCCTGACGACACTGACAGGTCCTTTCCTCAGATGGCTTTCAGGGCATAAACATGGAAATTGTTAAAATTATAACTTGAGGAAAGACAGCATAGGCGGTTTTTTCCTAACATCTTCCTTCTTCCAAGAGCACCGATCCACCCGTGATTAGAAACCCTAATATCCGCTTTAAACCTAATAAAGGGCGAGTCCCCTTTCACCTTGCGGCTTCAGAATGAAAAGACATTTGTTTTTTTTTTAAGTCACATTCCTATTTTTCGGGCTGACTTGGAAACTTTTCCGCAGTTTAGTGACCACGGTCTGCTAGACTGCAGAAGTATGAAGTCCCAAGTGCAAGGCACTGATTGAATGAATTCCATTGCCCTGGATGACTTCTGACTAGACCACAAGCATCTAGAAGGTAGGGTCTGTGATGCATATTTCTTTGACCTAAGTCAAAGCAGACGGAACACTGGAAAATCTTTTCAGGGCAAAACAATAATTATCTCAGTCTTCAAACAAGTTTTCATTGCCACAGCATGAAGCAGGGCACATGCCCTTTGGAAACACGACCATGTCATCCATTCAACTATTGCCTTTCTTGTTTTGTTTTTGTGTTTTGTTTTTGTAATTTTTGGTCACGCCACACACCTTGCAGGTTCTCAGTTCCCTGACCAGGGATGGAACCCGTGCCCTCGGCAGTGAAAGCGTGGTGTCGTAACCACCGGACGACCAGGGAATTCCAGATTCAACTACTGTCGAACCCCACAGCACGTGTACTCACTAACACCCAACATAAGGATTTAGAAGAGCCATTGCTGACCACAAATATCATTAAATGTGCATGGCTGCCTAGCTATATTCTATTTCGGGAATCTCTTATTACCTAGGAAATGATTTCATACTTCATTGTCTCAAACTGCATCATCCAAAAGGACCAGGATAAAATGTTTTCCTTCGAGAACATCTTTCCTGAAATCTCATTATTGCATATTATCTTTTGGTGCCACCCTAGCTTCCTCTGCTCACAGTGCTGGCTGCACAGTAAACTCTGAAATAGAAATACTGCACACTGGAATCTTACCACCAGGAGGGGATAGGAGTCACTGTTGGAAGAGCGCGAAAGGC